ATATATATATATATATATATATATAAAGTTTAACTATTTGACGGTTTTTACCCTTCAAGTTAAATTCCAACTTTACGTCAATATAGGTATAAACATATTTTTGACGTAAAACTAGTCTAGGGTACAAATTAGTTAAGCATAGGGTACAAATATATCATGCATAATTCTACCAAAATTCTCTTAACCCAATTTGTACGAGTTAACAAAAACACGGATATTATACTCTCTCTCTCTCTCTTTGTGCAGTGGGTACCGTGTCATGCAATTGTAGGCATGCCTTTGCTTGTTGCATTTGAACTGCTTCTTTGTATCTTTCTGGAGAGTGTCTATGGTACTGAACATATTTATTTCATTTCCTTACATTACTGAATTTCACGAATCAATCCTTTCATAGTGATCTGGTATCTAAGTTGTTCTATAATCAAATTCTCATTATACTTCGAAAAGGCTTGCAGTTTGTTTAGCCATATAATTTAGTTGCTGTGAGATAATCTGAAAAAACAGAAGGTTGCCTTTGTTATGTGTTGTTCAAGGTTCTAAGAGCTTATTGATTCTTTTGCGCAGTTATGCAAGTTCCTGCCGTAAACTTGAAGATTGTCTTTCTTCCTTTGTTGGCGTTTGAAATTACAATTCTTGTTGACAATGTCAGGTGGTTTTCTTGTTAGATCTTTTAGTAGTGCTTGTTCTGTTTGTTGGTGACCATCTACCAAACTTGATACCGTTTTCTAGTTCTATCGTTGCATAAATGCATTTAATTTGACTTCTCTTGTGTTTCTTCTGTTTTTGAGGAAGAGATTGAGTAATGCTGGTCATATTTTTACTCATTAAATCTCTCATGCTGTGCGCAGGATCTTAAAGCTGTGATTCCTATATGCATAGAATTCAGTTATATCAAAATTACTCCTCAACTTCTCGTTTTAGCTAAGGATCACTAAGCTTTTAGAAACTCAAGGATTCACTCCATAGGTTAATGGGTAGTTGTTGTGTGCACTTGTGTATAAATTGACATGCCTTCTAAAAAGACAAATATGTGGAGTTTCATTTCATAGGAGATAGGCCATAAAAAGTCTAAATAGGTGGAGTTCTCCTTTAAAAGTGTGTGTTTGTGTGTATGTAAGAATGAAACCTTTCTTGAAGTTACAGACTGCATTTTAGAGAAGTAATACAAGGAAATGACATTTGCGTGTGCCTAGGAATCTGATATTTCTTGCGGCTATTTTGATCAATTGTTTCTTTGGCATCAATCATTTTTGTACCAAAACTGTAAGAAATCTTATGTGTGAGTCGGTCGAAATGGAATGAGGTTATTAGTACTTGTGGGTTTTAATCGAGTTGTAGTGCTAATTTATAATTTAATCACCAATTGTTATTCAGGGAAAATAAAATACATGATATTATTGCATCTATTGGTTGGCAAGCTATTTATGGTTTTGCTTACTTTAGAGATAGCAATCTTATGGTAGTTCTCTGTCAATAGTGACGAGGACTGTAATGAGAATTAGGATGGAGACATTGCATTTGAATCTCTTTGTTGCTCATATGATCTTAACAACCATGTCTAATTCATAAAATTGTGTTATTAGGGTATCGTGGCTGATTTTTGCTAATATGTAACATGTTGAACTCCTTATATTGTGTATAGAATGTGCAAGGCTTTGCTACCGGGAGATGAAGAACATTTGAGTGACGATGCAATATGGGAGACACTTCCTGTAAGTTTAGTTAACGGGAAAACATGCATGGCTGCCTACTTTTCCGTTCGTTTATTTTAATGGAAGTGCCTGTTATCTTGAGAGGTTAACAGTTACTTACAATTCAAACTCTTTCACAAATTTGTTTTCTTATTCGTGTGCTTTAAAAGATCATGTGGGACTTCTAGGATATCGATGGTAGAAATAACTCTTTTCAAGTTTCTTTGGGTGGAAAATTTTAATGCATGGAACATAATCAACAAAATTTTCCGTTTTCTTTTTAGTTGGGATACCATCTTCTGACCTCTCTATTTTGGCGTAATACTCTCATTTGGATGCTTATAATACATAGAAGCTTTCTTTCAAATGCTTCAAAAGATGTCTAGAATTGTTGTTAATTAAGTTATCAGCTAGAGAAGAGCATGATTGCTGCATTTCATGAATTTTTGCTTCTTCCAAATTAAATAATATCTTCTAGGAGAGGATGGGCTGGTATATCGTACTACTGCAATCCATAGTTTAAATCTTATACAATCTGATTGACGGTTGCTAAGAATTACACTAATTTTGAATAGAGAAAATTTACCTGGTGAAATTTAGAGAAACACGTCACTAGGGGAGCATTCAATCTCTTAAATCACCGTGATTTCCAAGGCATGATATGGGCACCAAAAGACAACATGTATACAAGGTATATGTGGCTACGTGAAGAGGGATGTGATTAGAGACAAGGATGGAGTGGAAGTTATGGTTCAGGAGAAGTTGATGAAACAATGTTTGAGGTGGTTTGACCATCTCCAATTGTAGATCTTTTAGTGCACCAGTTAGAATTGTAGGCTTGCACCATGAGGAGGTCATTAGGAGAGGTAGAGGTCGAACCAGATTGACATAGGAAAGTAGCCAAGAGCATGAACAGAATGTACGAAATTAGTTCACATTGATAGAAAGTTGGAGGAATTTATTTTGGCTACCAGTACTTTATAGTTTCTTTTGGTTCCATTTTTATCCTGTCCCAACTAGTTTGGCATAAAATGTTTGCTGTTGTTGTGTATTCGTGATTAATAATGATGAATGAGTTTGCCAACAGGTTTAAAAGAAAAAAATCTATACCAGTAGCTCCCAACTGAACTTGTTGCAACAATAAATTGCCATATGCTGAATGCTCATGAAAACGAGCATAATGAGAAATTTGAATGTGCTCCGTAAAATATCAATAGAACTAATTACAAAATCTTGCATGGGACAAAAATCTGGGCAGACCAGTGCCAGATTGTTCCTGCTATGTCATGATTCACAGGCCAAATAATGCTGATTCTGACCATCTCATGTTTGATTTATGACACAAAGAATTTAGATTTTCTGTCAGTATTCTGACTCCGTTCTTCTGGAATTGCAACTGTAAAATTTTCTTGTCATTTGTAGTCACAGTGCTGCTACCACCTTCAAAAATTACATTAAATGTGCTAAAGAAACAAGAAAACAGCAACTGTGCATTGTTCTTATGATGAAATTTTTTGTTAGCATGAATCTTGCTCCAACTTACAGAAATAACTGCTACTAACTGGCCATTCAATTTTTTTCGTTCCAGCATTTCTGGGTTTCTATTTCCATGATCTTCTTCATTGCTGCTACCTTGTTCACCCTACTGAAGCTATGTGGTAATATTCTCCTCAAATGACTATATTTTACTGCCCAATATATATGTTTCTGTTTTCCACTGACATATGATCAGAACATTTATTTGTGATTTTGGTTTATAATTGCCATCATTTTACTTATGCAACATTTCTTTTTCATATTTGGGAAAGGAAGGAGGTCATTAATGCTATGCATACTGTGTTAGGTTTCTTAACATATATCAACATGCTTGGTATATTTTTGGTGTATGACTGCTTATTTATTGATTATTTGGGATTTTGCTCTTACATGTTGCAAGCATATATTATTGGGGTTTACTTGGTATATATAGATGGTATATCGCTAATCACTTTCAATGTATAAATCTTGATTTTTTGCTTGCCATCCGACTTTCTCTTTTACATGCCAATTACTGGTGCTCTGCCTCCTTTTTGACATGTGCAAGTGTAATCTGATCTAATGACTTGTTTGTCGTGTCATGCTTGATTATGCTTGTGAAACTTCCGCATCATGCTTCAAATAACTTTTACTGGCTTGAGAAATAATGCACTTTATATATGCTTATGGGATCAATCATAACTAGTGACAATCTACACCATATCTATTTCTAATCACTTCCATTTAGCAGGTAATATAGGTGCTTTAGGCTGGTGGGACCTGTTCATAAATTTTGGGTATTATCCCCCTCATGTCAGCAGTATTTCCATCTTGTTTCTAATACCCTTTTAGTTGCTTTAACTTGTTGAATTCATGGTACAGAATTGCCGAGTGCTTTGCCTTTCTTGTTTGCACGAAGTGGTCTAATCCAGCGATTCGCAGAAATTCTCAAACACCTGAAGCAAGCTCATCATCCACGACTATTAGATATCTTGACTGGAATAGTGGCTTAGTGGTTTCATCAAATGATATCTCTGAAGATAGGACATGCGGTCTGCAAGACATCGGTGGTCACATCACGAAAATTCCCATTATCGCATTTCAAGTCATGCTTTGTATGCACTTAGAGGTATGTTAAACTGTATGAGCATCTAGCTATTTTAGGATGTGGTGTTCTTAAAGTTAAATTTACATTATGGTTCTTTCAAGTTTCAGAAAAAACCTGCCGCTGCAAGTTTTATCCCTCTTCCCATTGTCTTCTCTCCTTTACTTCTACTGCAAGGAGCAGGAGTTCTCTTTTCTGCATCTACATCGGTGGAGAAAATTATCATCTTACTCCGTACTGGGGCTGGCACGGGGAGATACTTTTTCTTTTCTGCTAGGGTTCATGACTGCTTTGGGTTTTTGTACCATGGCTCTAGGTAAACCAAGTGGCATCAGAAGAATTGATAAAGTGTGGGCAAATATCTTAGCTGAAGTTCAACATTCTTTTTACTCTAATTTTTATGCATAGGTTGCTTGGTTGGTGGTCGATTGATGAAGAAAGTCGAGAAGAACAGGCACGAGTTTACCATGATGGGGCTTCAGGGTGAGTGCCATTATCTCTTGTAGCTTACCTTATTGTATTCTTCAGAACATCCATCCCTTGTTTTTACTTGATAGATGTGAAGTAATTATTTTATTTCATTGAGCACAACAATAAAAAACCAACATGGCATTTCTTCTGCACTAGTCTACTCACTTCGTGTGCATATTGTTTTTAGTGGTCTAATGTATTGCCCGTTAAATCATAGTAGGTCTCACCTCTGCCGAATGGACATGATTGGACTTATCTAATGTTTTTCTTTTTGTTTTTAGTGGATGAATTGATTCAGCCAAATTGTAACATCATTCACTTTGCCGTTTGGGTTTGTCAAGTGTGCATATAAATTTTTAGGCCTTCTCTTTGTGGAAGCCTTCAATCTGCTGTGATCAAAGCCAAGAAACTCAAATCAGTCGACACTTAAATAGAAGATCTTTTACAATCTCCCAAATCTGTACCTTCTCAACATAATCAAATATATAAACATTAAAAACTTGAAAAGCCGATGGTGTTTTTTAGTATGGTGATGAAAAACGGCAACTTGACACTGATTTGGGGATGGGGGGAAGCAGGGGCAGAGACGGTAGGGGGGCATGGTGGTGTTGAGCCACCCACAACTCTTCCATTTGGGTAATCTTTAGTAGTACTAGTGGTTCAATCCATTTGCTAGGAATTGATTATCCAGAATCTCCTAGCTTCCTATTCTTACCTTTTTTCCCTTTTTATTTAATTAATCTCAAATTTCTTTAAATAATTAATTCCAATCTCCTAGTTTCTTTTTCTTATTTTTTTTAATTAATTTCATACTTCTATGATTAATTATAACATGTATATATGCATAATTTCATATTTGATGGTTATATTGTCAACAATGTTTTTTTTTTCATTTACAAATATTTTTGTATTTTTTCTTTTACAAATGTTTTATAGAAAACATTATAAAATCAAATATCCTAGTAAACTAAATCAACATTGATATCATTATACAAAGTTTTTACATATAAGATCAAGATTTTTAAGTCACAGATTTTTATAATGTCATGTTTATCACTTTAGCTATGAATTGAGTAACAAACTGAGTACATTTCTTTTGATATCATCTAGTCCCCCCAAATTAAAATTCTAGCTCTGCCTCTGGGGGGAAGACAGAAATCACTGAAGAACACCTGTAAGTAGCAATTTTTGCTGCTGTTGTTGCACAATCACAGGTGGTGGGGGTGGTTATGATTTCACTGTTTTTATATGTTTGTATCTGCGCAGGTATAACACTTTCTGTGGATATCCACCTGAAGTAGTAAAGAAGATGCCCAAGAAGGATCTTGCTAAGGAGGTAATGTGCATCCAAAATTTTGCCGGAAAACCTTCATACACTGTGTTTGCCTCTTACCATAACAAATGGGCATGATAATTTGAGATTAATAAATTTAATCTTTATTTACCCTATCAGGTTTGGAGACTTCAGGCTGCTCTTGCTGAGCAAACCGAGATCACAAAAGTCAGTCAACAGGAGTACGAAAGACTTCAAAATGTAAGAATTTCTGGACCGTGCTTCTGTTTTAATCGCTGACCTATATTATTGATTTATATTCATTCGACACTCTCAGTGTCACTAATTCTTGAGAGATTACTGGTCTCAGAACTTTGTGTTGGACCGAAGACATGAGTAATCGTTAGGTTGGTCATTGGTTGCTCATTACATGCTTTACTCCCTCCGTCCCAAAATAAGTGTCCATAATAGAAATGGTACACAGTTTTGAACATGCATAATTATTACACTTTTTAGTTAACCAAGTGACAACTTTACTCTTGATTAATTTATCTATTTTATCTTCTCTTACATATTGTGCATTAATTAAGGGTAGATTTGGAAATTTAGTAATTTATTTTTGAAACTTGACACTTATTTTGGGACCTACGGAGTATTTTTTGTATTTTGGTGGAGGGGAGATGATAGTTGGACACAAGTTTATACATTTAGAAAAAGGCTTTTGCTAGTTTGAACTTATTGTCCATGAGAATTACATTGTTTGACCAATTATATGGTGAAAGTAAATTGTTTGGCTATTTGTCAAATATCTAATAATATAATGACAAATTAGGAATTTTGAGCACCCACATCAACTCCATTAATTTATTTGTAGCATTGTTCATGAACAAATAGATACTTCCTCCGTCCCAAAATAAATGTCCACAATGAAAAAAACACTTAGTTTTAGAAATGTGTAATTATTACGATTTTTTAATTAACTAAATGACAATTTAAACCTTAATAATAGAGGGTGTAATGAATTTCTCCATCTCATAATCAAGGGTAGAACTGAAAAGTAGACACTTACTTTTGAACGTTGATACTTATTTTGGGACAAACTTAAATAGAAATGTGGACAGTTAATATGGATGGAGGAAGTAATTCTCACTTGTTATCTTTCTAAAAAAGGAAACATTACAAAGTTTCGTGGAATATCGCTAAGAAGGGAAGTGTTGTAATTCCATTTCAAATAAAGATCACTACTATACACTTGATCTAGTATGACTAATCATCAAAGAAATCTTGAGAATACAAGGGATGGCAGGAGAAACTACAATTAGCGAACAACTTGTGATTCTCGTTGCAATTTGAACCTGATTTGAACACACATTCTGCCAGGAAAAAATTCTATGCAGGGTCTGTTTTGAAAGAGAGATGAGCTTAGTACTCCTCCCTTGTCGGCATCGGGTCCTTTGCAGGTACCCCTATTGCTCTTTTAGCGTGTGTTTGGTATGCAGGACATGATGGGACATGACAGTACAAATACTTTGTCCCAACTTTAAGACTTTGGACAGGACAGACCTGAGTGGGAAAAGGAGATTGCTATTTGCATTCTTTTAATGTCAAAATCAGGTCAAATCATGTATTGAGGATGTTTAAAAGTGAGTTTTGATGTTGATGTCTGGAGAAAATTACTAGATAGAGGTGCATTTAGCCTACCATGTGGGAAAAATATACATTTATTCTGTCCCACTAAAATAGGTGGAACGAAAATTAAGAACATCAGACAAGATTTGATAAATTACTAAACTACCTATATTTAGTTAAAACCCTAAAACCGTCCAAACATCGTGTACTAAACACACCGTCTATTGTCTATATCGTATATATTGTCATCCTGATTTGTTTCAACCTTTGTCCGTGCAGTATATGCTCTGAGAAGTGTAAAAAGTGCCCCATTTGTCGTGTTAGCATCGAGGAACGAGTGCTTATATGTGATGTATAGCCTTTCGTTATCCATGTGACCCGAAAGTTTAGAACAGAGTCCCATGGATACATAGTTGAAGTTGCAGCTAGTTTTTTTATGTTGTTCTTTTTGTTATATTTTGGTGGGTAAAACGTAAATATATAAATTCAAATATTTCACTTAGAATATCTGAGAAGTCACAGTTTTTAGAATTACTTTGGTCAAATTATTTAGTTAGTTCATAAGGTTTAAATGATTCTTTGTATTTGTTCCTGCGGCCAATCGGGTGGGTAAACGTTTATTGGGTAAGAGTTATCACATTCACTTATTTCATCGAGTAAGGTTCTCAACCTATAAAATGGCGTAGTAAGATTGTTAGTAAGCGTTTTTCTACGCCTAATGTCCCCTTGTTTAGTTACTTGTTATATGGTAGGAGGCCCTTACTCGGTATTAGGTGATATTTTTTTTACCAAGATCATTTTTATAAAGACACCAAAATGTATGCAAAAAATTAACAAATTTAACATCAGTGAGGCTGAAACCCGAGCCTTTTGTACAAAGATAGAAGCATTAACTATCTCCGCCATCAAGGTTTTATGCTTAAATTTTAGTTTCAAAAACTATATGGTGGTACCCGACGAAATGATATGGTGACATTCTTCAAAAACACATTTTTCCCTAACGATATAACCATAAAGTGGTTGTCTGTGTCATCGTAGATCCAATCCTACCGAAACAGACATAACAGAGATGAAGGTAGCCTTAACCACAACAGTCGCTAATCTGACAGCGGATGTCCACAAACTCCATCCTAACTCTAACAACGACAACCGTCGGAGAAAGAGATAGAGGCAAGGTACCGGTCAAGGTTCCGCACGACAACACTACAACCAACATTATGGATTTAGTTTCTTTCCTAGTCAAACAACCACCCGTTCCGAAAAAACCACCCAAAAAAGACGAAGTCTTGCTGGACAAGGTCAACGTATAATCCTCTCTCTCCGTCATGACCGAGCCACAACAAGAAGTATTTACCAAGGCCCAAAGGATTTTGGACTAGCTATCAAAGAAACCAAAATTCATCCGGCTCAACACATTCCCAAGCCACCTGAACCCTTGTAACAAAAAATCAAGAAAGGTGATCCGGAAGGTGATGATTTCATTATGCTAGCACCCGAGACTCCAACCGCGCTATTTTGACAAATGGTTCGAATACGTTTTCTTAGTCTTCAACCATTTCAAGCTTAAAAACGGGAGCGACTACAACGATATCTTATGGAACGTGAAACCGTTTTAATTTTGAAGGTCGATTTATGGATATGAATGTATTGAAGACAAAAATGTTATATGATTTAGTGTTCCATAAAAAATCAGATGATGTTGATTTTCAAGGTCGAGTTCTTTTCAAGTGAAGATGTCTAATACATAGAGGATCCTAATTATCTAGTTCATGATGTTGATGTTGATGTTGATTTTCATGTTCATTATTTTCTTCATAGTTAGATTAAATTTAGTTTAGATTCAGATTCCGTAGTTATCTCTTAGGGGCCGTTTACCAAACGCTTACTCGAGTAAGTGAACACCAAGTCACATTACCTTACCGGATGAATATGGTAAGGACCAAAAAATTATACTCAGTAAGAGCGAGACAAGGAACAAGAATCTTACCACGGTAAGCGCTTACCGGGTAAATTGTTTCATACGATACCGTTTTGATGGACTAAAATCTTACCCGATAAGTCAATGACAGTGTTAAATTTTCTCGGTAAGCGCTTACCGGATAAGTGTTTGGTAAACGACCCCTTAGTTAGTTTAGTTTATAAATAGGGTTTATTGTTTTATCTCTGGTTTAAGAGTTATTCTCTTAATTTTCCGAGTGCTATGTTGGTGGGCTCGTTATCTTAAAAGGTTTTGACTCTTGTTGATCCTTCCACACTTCCTTGATGTGTCAACAATCGATTTTCATCGGTGATGGACCCATCGCCGGTTATCCGTTGGTAAATTCAATCACTGGCCTATCCTTTTGCGTCAGTACCTTTCACTGCTGATGGGTTTTACTGGCGGATTGCCGATGGATACACATTATTAACAATTAATTAATTCTTTTAGGAGGGAGTTATTGGTTTTCTATTTATGGGAATTATGAATTTCTTATTTTGGGGGAAATGGAATAAAGTTAACTAAATGTTTTATGAGTTGTATTTTTACTGTACCTTTTATATTAATTTAATAAATAACATAATTATCTTAAATGAATGATTCATATTAGATCTCATGGATCTTACAAATTCTACAGCTCTCATATATATATATATATATATATATATATATATATATATATATAGACTTGGGATCATGTGAGACCAATAGTTTTTCGTGAGAC